TTTAGAACTGTCACTAATGGATGATTGATACTGTATTGGGATACTAGTATCAGTTCAAAATGTTTCTCAAGGTTGTTTTTAATTCTGTAAAGAAAATTTCAAGAAATAAGTTTTACTTGTTACGTGTGTGTGTGTGTGTTCATTCCTATGGGACCCATCAAAATAATAGTTAATGCATAATAATCAATTTCAGGGCATTCTCTTTAGGTGCTACTGAAATGACTAAATCCATTTAAAACTAGTCTGAAAAATAGGCAAACTAAAAAATTTAACTATCCATCAGAAACTGAACTAGAGAAGGAAATTTGTATCTGACTAAGGAAGGAGTTCAGTGACCTTGCTGCAGTAACTGGGAAAGTGCTCTTGCTTTCCTTAGGAGTGTTAATTGTAGTGACAAGGAAGATTCTTTAAATATTCTGTTTTAAGGTCCTGCCTTTGGTAGACTGTACATCTTTGTTGTGTTAAAAAAGCATTGGAAAGAAGACTAAGTAGATCTTTTGTAAGTCAAGCTACCATTGTAAAGAGAATCCTCTCTCCTATATAATTACTAGCTAAATTAGGATAGGATGTAGAGAAATGCTCTCAGTTGAGTTGATTAGAAGATTCATGCTGAAAAAGCTGGATCTTTAGTTTTTCTTGTAGAGAAACTGAGTCCATATAGAAAACAGTCATTATCTAGAAATGAGTTTGAAAACAGGACAGAAAGTAGTGTAATTGATAAGGTACCAAATTATCAAATTATTGGCCCCAGTCGAACTTCTAGTATTGAATAAAGTGAAGCTTATTTTAGCAATCTGAATGTGATGGAATTAAAATGTTTGTGAGCCTTGATAAATTCTTTTCCAGATCAGCTGCTATTTATTTACTTGTTAGATTGCATCTCATATTTCCTCTAGGAGGTCAAGGCAGCATTACAAAGGCATTATAGAGTTTCAGCAGATTCTGTTCCATCTCTACTATAATTCATTTATCAAGAATGACCAAGGTTATTAGTTCTACAATCAAGTCAGAAACACACTGAAGTAGATAACTGAGAATGTTTATATTCATTTCATACTTTTTAAAAGGGCATGTACCATAGTTGTACTTGATCTTGCTCTGCCTGGACATGTGAGCATTCTCTGAGCTGTTGGCACTGGTCCAGGCATCCAACATTGGGGCTCTCCTGGATCTGTCCAGGGACAGCAGGAACCCTTGACAATAGGAGCCAGATTTATTCATAGGAGGAGATCACACAAATTCATTTATTATTTTAGGGGATCATGATACCACAAAGCTTGGTAATCCCTGGTATATACAGTACATTCCCTCAAGGTTGCATATATCCATATTACATATTGGCCCCTACTAGCTTTGAGTCTCCTTGGCATGTTTAGCCCACATAGTTTGTTTTTTTATTGTGGCCCTCCAGATGTTGAATTATATTTCCACATATCTAACATTGGCCATGCTGGGCGTTGTAGCTGAGCAACATCTGGAAAATACAGATTTTCTATTCCTATTCTAAATGATAAAAAGTTTGACACGAGATATTTTGCATGCAGTTGCATAAATCAATGACGACATGGATCTGTTAGACAAAATTGATATATTTAATATAATGAATCATTTTCCTCTTGAAGATTAACCTACAGTTTACATTCAGTAACTATTTTCTAGATATGTGCAAAGTCTACTATTTGGATTGGTATGGCCCAGAGGAGAAACAGAACATTCTGGAATTGTCTGTAACATTCTGTTCCCAAAATAATAGATTTTGTACATATACTGTTTTCCTATCTTGGTCCATTAAACACCGAATGAATGATATAGGATTCACTCACACCCATGTGGTATATTGAATTAAGTTTTGGGTTAGGATGTAAGAAACTCCATTAAATCTTGAGTTAGCCATGGACCTGAAAATCAGCTACCCATTTCTTTTCATTTTACTACATACAAAGCTAATTACTGATACTAGGTGCAATAACTGTTCCATTAATCTCCAAGTAAGAATTTGATTTTATAGATGGAATACTATTTGAAGTTTGTTCTTATGAAGGTAAGCAATCTTTTAAAATAGAATTTTATAGGTTGCTTACCTTCATAAGAATAAACTTCAAATTTAAACTTCAAACTTAAGAATCTTTACTTATGGATAAATTAATTATTTGGATCATGGCTTAGATCCTACTTTAAAAAGTATTCTTGCTTTAGAACTGTCACTAATGGATGATTGATAATATTCTAATGGTTCACTATAATGTTAAGATAGTTACTTAGGCATTCTAAAGTACATTTTGCTTTATTTTGTGATTTTTTTCAGACTTAAAAGAAATTATGACATTCCTGTAATGCATGATCCACATTGGTGGTTAGATGCACATTTTAAAATTTAAAAGTAACACCTTTTTGGTGCATTTTGCAAAAGGCCATCATTTAGGTAATAGCTAATTATAACATTTAATGAGCATTCATTGTTTTTCAGAAAAAATAACTTGTTTGGCAATTTTGGTACTAATGCACTTTTTGTTTATTAACTTCCACATTTGCTTTTAGAAAGCTGTCACTGTTGTTATGTACCCATGCCTGTTTCCAGATGACATTATTTTAAATATGCTTGTTTATTCTACTTGTAGGGCTCTTAGCATCGCCACAATCTGCACCTGGTAATTTGGATATTGGAAAAAGTGGAGAATTTAAAATTAGTGGAACAGGAGGGAGTAGAGAAAACAGCACTGTTGACTTCAGCAAGGTAAAGTTTTTAAGATTTAGAGAACATGGCTTTGTGAATTTTTCGTATTCAGAATATAATACTTGTTTGTAGTTAAGTTGTATAATATAATCTCTTGAAATATAGTTCTAGAATAAATTAGTAGCAATACAGGTATATTTCAATACTTATCTGAAAGTAGAGGATCAGTAAGAGCCACTTTGGTAGTGATTAAAGGCCCCAGGCTAGAAATCAGGAGACTGAATTCTAGTTCCACTTTAAGCATGAAGCCAGCTGGGTGACTTTGGGCTAGTCACTCACTCTCAGCCCTAAGAAGGAAGCAATGGCAAATCATTTTTTAAAATGTTGCTAAGAAAACTTCAAGGACTTGCCCAGGTAGTCACCAAGGTTCAAGACTGACTCAAAGGCTACATATGTACTGTACTTACATACATACATACATAAGTATGCTGTGCCACTTTTATTATTTATCACTTATGTTAGTATTCTACATAATTGTTTAAACTGTCATTTTGTTCTATTCATTGTGAGCCGAGAGTCTACTGAATACGGTGGGGAATGAATGAACGCATGCATGCATGCATGCATGCATGCATGAATGAATGAATGAATGAATTTCTTTGATTCATATTTTCAGTCATCCTCCTACAACTGGGACTGGAGGGTATTGTCAACAGTAGGGCAGCTATAATTCCTCATATAAATATGTTATGAGGAGAGAATGATGATTCCAGGAACTTCTTTGGAGGTCAAAGAGAAAAGGAAAGAGGATGGAGAGGAAGGTGAAATCAGGGTTCATTTGGTGGGTGGAAGATTCCAGACTGATGTGGCTGACTTACTAGAATGGAACAGTAGGAATATAGAGAAAGATCCACCTCTATGATAGCTAGAGATAAGATGCAGTCTCTAAGTTTCCTCTTCAAAGAGGGTAGCGTTGCAAAAAAAGTATTAAAAGATCTGAAGTCTGACTGGGTAGAAATTCTAAATTAGCATTCAGTCTACCCTGAGCAGTTTACCATCAGTCATGGAAGTTCAGTGGGTGACTTTTGGTCAGTTATACTCTTTCAACCCAACCTATCTCTCAAAGTTGTTTGGGAGAAAATAATGGAGGGAGTGCTGTGTACACTGCCTTGAACCCTTAAACTGGAGACTGGATATATCTCAAATAAATTGACAAAATAGTTGACAGTTATGTGGCACAGAACCGTGAGAATTCTAGTCTAACCTATCTGAAAGATTCCAGATTGTAGAAGACTGTGTTAAATGTCTTTCATGGTAACTTGCTATTTTAATAGTATTCCTTTTTTTTTTTTGAATAGCCATATTTAGTTAAAGGCAATAGCAGAAGATATTAACTTAGATCTGAAAAATTACAAGCACAACTCACCTTGCAGAATGGAGGTTTCCTACCTCTTCTTTTATGCTGCAGCTTCCTTTGTCCCTGATTATAGTGTGTGGGGCATAATGGGCTGTAACTAGGGTGGGGAAACAAATGCAAATTGAGATATATTGCAGGAATGTATGTATGGACCTTATGCTATTATTGCTGTTATTTACTAAATATGTATGCCACCAAATCGCCTAACTCATGGTGGCTTACTACAACATAAATTACAATAAAACATCTATGGTAAGAATAAATCACAACCCAGGTTACTTTGAACACTGTTAATTGAAACTATTCATACCAGATTCCACAAGGTTTCCAGGTTAAAACAATACTTTTCAATTACTTTTCAAGTACTGTGTTATATTCAGTACTGCTGTTAACAGTGGTGGTAGAGTAGTTTTCTGTTTTAAAGATTCACTATAAGTATATATGCTTTTAGTTACTAGGCCCATACATTTCTAACTTGTCCAGTTATTTATTTGATTGTTATGTTTTGATGCATAATAAAATTGAAGGACAGTTAATTATAGGCTTCTATGATACTAAGGCCAATTACTTTTACATGCAATGTCATGGGCTATGAGATTTATAGAAGAGTCCTTATGGTCTTGTCATTGGAACTCTGCCGTAGAGTGGACACAGCCCATTTTAGATGCATATATAGAATCCTGAATGTAGTACCTCAGTTAACATTGTGGCTTCCCAGGTCTAGTATGAATAAAGAACATTTAGAACTGTAAGTGTGGCAGAACTGCAAGGTTTAAATGAATAGACTACTGTAGGTTGATGGCACAGGATTAAAACCTGGTTTCACTTTTCACTAATCCGCTATACAGAATTGCTTCCTTTAGTGTAAAGAATGTTAATCTGCAAAGACGTTGCTATTTGTATCATCTATAATACAGTATTTCTCCTTTCAATGTTTTGGTTTCAATATATATAATTCAGCAAAACAGTGTAACTTTACTTAAAAGTTGTCTTAATATATATTTATGTAAGCAAAACGAATTTACATTATAGTTTAATCATGGCAAATGCCATTATTCCAGCTCCTCTATCACAGTTTTTATATTTTTACTTGGCCTGTTCTTCTCTGCACCTGCCTTGTCTCCTGTTGGGCAGGATTCTGCCTCCTGGCACTGTAGTTGTGGCACACTTGGTGTGGGACTCAAGAGGCCAGCTGTAAGTGTTTTTTTTCTAGATAGCTGTGTAACTGGTGTCTTAGTTTCAGTGATTTTTGTGTTTCTGTCTGTATGTGAGCCAATAGTTTGTATGATTCTATATATGATGGTGGTGTATTTTTATAATTATATACACAGTTCCCATGGGTAATTTGAATAACACTGAGGTATGAAGAGTTAATTCTCCAAAAATATATATTTTTAGATTAAATTTATAAAATAAAGCAATTGTGTATATAATTACACTGATTTAGTGGAATTTGTAGATATTTGTTATAAAACCTTTTTATTCCCAAGATATAATGTTAGAAAGTTTTTGTGATTGTATATTTTAACATAGACATTCAAACACAATATTTGTATATATGGTTAGATTAAAATGTTAATCACTCTGTAATAACACAGTATATTTTGTTTGCAACATTGTCACTTATCTTTAAATGTCAGTTTCAAAAATGCTTTACTTTAAATTAATATCGTTTTAATAATTTCTTTGAAAATAGGTGGATATGAACTTTATGAGGAAGATTCCAATAGGTGCAGAGGCATCAAATGTGCTGGTTGGAGAAGTAGATTTTTTGGAGAGACCAATTATTGCTTTTGTGAGGCTGTCTCCAGCTGTGCTTCTCACTGGTCTCACAGAGGTTCCTGTTCCTACACGGTAAAATAAAAATATACATATAATAAATCTTTAGTTGTGTGTATGATGTTGAATCTATATTATGTGACACAGGAATTTTTTTCTTGTTAGAAAAATAGTCTTTGCTGCTGCCTCTTTGTTGTGGGTTTATCATTGCTGGTTTAAAATCTTGTATGCACGGTTTTAAAAAATAATTTATTTTAAATAAAGATAAAATGTTATCTCTTGCCATTTAGAAAGAATCCTTGCTGTCATTGAGCAGTTCTTTAACTCTATAGTTCATACTTATTCATAATGTTTGGGTTCTCTTTAGTGGCAAATGCAGAAAATTAAACTTAAAATCATTTTCAGATGAAAAGAACTAATGGAAGGAAGGAGTATTATTAAGTAATTGTCCTTAAGAATGTATAGACCTGAATAAATAATTCAAAAAAAGAGTGATCATATAGTTTTGTCTTGTGGATATGGGATTCACCTTGCTAAATATATCATAAATTGTGATAATCTTTTGTCCAAGTTTTCATTTATTTTTACTGGCTATATCTGCATATCATGACAAGCCAGAATTCTTCAGATCACTCTTGCTTGCTTCTTCTTGCCATGCTTCCATAGTTTATTTACTGTAATATGCCAGTGTCATAACCCAAGGTTTATTCTTGGCTTTTGACTCTTCTGGGTCACATGTGAAAGTAAACACATTACTGAAAGAATGCACAGTTAGATAAATGGTGTAGTCCTACCTAGTCAATACTTCTCTATGTTTGAGGATACCAGATGGCAGACATTAGCTTAACATTAATACCTGGTATATAATATGGCAATTCTATAATCATACCTACTTTCTTTTCTATTTGGTAGTTAATAATTCTCCATACTAAATATTGAAAGATATATCAATTTGGTGAATACTTTATAGGAAAGGGCAATATAAAAAAAAAGATTACTGCACACATAAGGAATGTAGTTTTTTTAGTTGTAAAGTCGTAATTCAAGGTGTCTGATCAACCTGAATAATCCACAATATTTGATGAACACAGCAGGCACTCTGCATATAGAAGCCAACCCTCTGACACTGCTGCCTTTATTTATTTATTTAGAACTTTTATATGGATGCCCAACTCAAACAACATGACTCTGGGCAGCATACAGAAATCATTAGGCAGAAATACAAAAGAAAAATAACACATGCCACTAAAGCAAACTAAAACAATTAAATGGTGATCAGGACTAATATATATCATATCTCACCTGGGGAAAAAGACAGCTCTTACCTACCTTTCTAAAGGCCTGCAAGGTCCACCCAACCATATATTGGGGAGGGGGAATCATTCCAAACAGTTGGAGTCGCCATCCTGTGTCCCACCAGGTGACATTGTTTCAGAGAAGTGATCCACAGTGTGCCCTCCCTGTTGGAGCATATGAGACATTTTGATGGGAACCCTTTGTACTAAAATGTATTGATTCCTTAAAAGCATGCAGTTATCCAGTAAAGCTGCTTAAATGCCATGCCCAGTTTAGCAAATCAGAGGATGGGAATGGGAATATTGATGACTGATCCTAGTAGTTAAAATTAAGGAACTACATACATCAGTGTTTTACATTTCTTAGAATTAAAAGTATCACCTTGAGCTAAACTCTTAATTCAGATACCACCCTTCTCTTGTGTAATCTCAGTTTTCCTCTTGAAGTATATGTGACCGTTGCTACATTCCTTTACTGCATACTTAGTTTGTGCGAAGGATATGTTGTGGTGGAACTGAAGATATTTCAAATACATATTAAAATGGGGCAATATATTACAAAACTAGTTTTTATTTTGGTTTACGATTTTCAGTGTATACCAATTTTGTCCTCTGATCACCCAGCTAGCAGAGACAGAAGAGAATTTTCTAATAATTTTAACAATTTCCTATAGCTATGTTATTATTTTAGTAGAATGGAAAATGAATTAGGCCAGGGTGAACTACACAAAATATTCTGGCATATTTGCTAGATGAAAAATCATGGTGTCATTACCGTACATTAACACTGGATTACAAAATTTGTTTTAGTTGATGCAATTTGCCATTCCAATCCATTGTACCTCAAATGTGTTGTAAGTGGAACTCACAGAACTCCTAGTTGTTGTTGTTGTTGTTATATGCCTCAGCATGCTGATATTTAATAGTAAAAATTCTAGCTCTCGGTGACAGGTATCATTGAATTACTGCTATAATATCTGATCTTGCAATCCATTTTCATAATTCCACAGATTCCTTTTTCTGTTGCTGGGGCCAGCAGGTAAAGCACCTCAGTATCATGAAATTGGTCGATCAATAGCAACACTCATGACTGATGATGTGAGTACTGCCATTTAGTACATACCCCAAAGAACTATTTACTCTAAAATAGGCTGACGTCAATATGCATTTATATAATAAACTTAAATTTATAATGGTAGAGTATAATATATCATCTTGTACATACTTAAATATATATAAGTATATACACATAAGTACATACCCATTATGTCTTTCCCTGGCAAGTGGAGAGATGAAGTCCTATCTGCAGGACTGTGTCTCTCCACTTGAGTCAGCCCAAGTTCTCTGATTGTGTTGGGAGAAGCAGATGACTATCTCTCATTTTTGGGAGGTCAGGGAAGCCAAAGTCCAGAAGTGTTGTTTCTCCATGATGGGGCCAACCCTCTAGAATGGCTTCCCACAGGAAGTTGGATTAGCTCCGATGTTATTCGTCTTCTAGAAGCAGCTGAAGTTGGAGCTGTTCTGGATGGTGTTTGGGTATTGATGCCAGATATTGTGTTGGATTGTATATGTTTTATTATGGATGCTATTTCCTTTTTGTTAGCCAGTGAGAGTCCATGTGTGATTGCAGTGGGATATAAATTTGATCAATAAAAATAAATATTAGTAAAATATTAAAAAATAAATTATAATAAAAATAAAGTGCAGTAGGAAGTAAGAAATAGTAAGCCAAATAAATTAAAAGCGTATAATAAAAAAAAAGGAAATTGAATTAAATCTAGTTTATACCAATGCTGTTCTTTATACCTTTCCATACCTTTTTGTCCTTATGAATCATCCTTGCTTCTATCACATCCATGAATTCCTTTGTACATTGCCTTTTTCTTTTGTTTTTAGTCTTCCCTTTCATTTAATTAATTCATTTTTTCCATTGTTCTGTTTTACAATGCATATAGTTTGGCTATATGCCCAAACCACATTGAGGAACTTTCTTCTAGTAGTTTTTAATTTCATATTCAGTGCAGATTGATTCAGTATCCATTAATTCTTGACCCTGTCCTGCCTTGTTTACCACCCATGTTTTAAATGCTTTATTCCCATTGCATTCAACTTATTTTTATGTTTCTACTGATACACCTAATTCTTACTTCCAGATAACAAAATGGGTAGAAGCATGCTCTTATGCTTTCCCTTCTTTTGACAAATATTTATTCTTGCAAGAGATCAGATTAATATCCATTACCTTTCTACCAGCAGATCCTAACAATTCTCCATAAATTGTCCTATTTTTAGTAAGCTTTCTACTAAGGTACCCAAATCTATCTACTTGCTCTAGTTTTATATATAACTTGCCATTGTTTCCTTGACTTTCCCAGTCAAATACAACTGCTTTGTCTTTGGATTTGAAAATTAATGTATCATACTCATCACTGCATCATTTTTACTTATTTGTTTATTAAAATTCATTTATTAAAAAAAATACTGCCTAATACCTGAAGCTCTCTGGTAGTTTACAATAAAACACACTAAAATGTAATAACTAAAACACACTAAAAATATATAGATAAAATCAAATAAAGTACAAAAAAATACCATATAAACTAGGCAGCAGCACTAATCTTACAGAAACTAAAGGTTAAAATATATGTTCGTTCTAAAGCTAGCCATAATGTGTTTTTTATTTGTGTCTAACCATTTTTATATTAAGCTTATATGAAATAAAATATTCTTGATATACCGTATTTTTCTGACTATAAGACGATACTTTTTTCTAAAATCCTTACG